GGAGGACGGACATATGTTAGTGCACAAATAGAGCTGGTATCAATGCTTGATGCCAGTGACATGGAACAGAGGCTCTCCAAAGGGTCTTGCACATCTCTGTCTAGCCAGTCACAGGCTGCAGACTCTTTGTCCTTATTTCTGCCTGTTGGGTCTCTTAACATAACATGAAGCATTTTTCAGATTTACTTTTAAGGAAGCTGTTACATAGTTTTTGTTGTTGCTTTAGCTGCTGTAGGAATACTATATGAGTAATGTGAAATTGGAGTCCAGAAGAAAAAGTCTACATTCAGAGATGAGCCACACTGTGGCAAGATGTAAGAAGTGCAAAGGCTTCAGAAGCAACTGTAAAGAGAGTGTAAAACCTACTGGTCCTTATGGGTCGCACTCTGTTGAAACCCTGATGTGCTTACATGCCTTTAAAAAGTTGTTTCACTTTCTTTTAAAAAAGTTGTTATGCTATGCCACTTAGAGAATGTGTAACTAACGGGAGATTTCATCAAGCAGAGTGAAATATGGATGTAATGATTAATCCAAAAAAAAAGAGATTCCCATGCAAGGAAAGCCACCATGTTCTGCCCCGGGAACAGGTACGCTGGAACAGGTTGCCCAGAGAAGTTGTGGATGCACTGTCATTGGAAGTGTTCAAGGCCAGGTTGGATGGGCCTTTGAACAACCTGATTGAGTGACAGATGATCTTAAAGATCCCTTCCAACCCAAACCGTTGTATGATTCTGTGAAATACGTAATATCTTCTATGGGGTGTGTCCCCGTGGTGTTGTTAGTAGCTTACTCTACTGGTTTGTTTGAAGCAAGCTGCACACTCTGTACTCATTGCCCTGTTAGCTAGACTGCCACTCCTGGTGTAGTTAGGCAAAGGAAAACTGCCTAATGGAAATGCCTTCTTACCGCTTTAACAACCTGCCATCACTTAGGACGTATAGATGTGGGGACAGAGTTGTTCTCTACTGTCAAAAAAGTCACCTGTATACAACTTCGGTACTTAGTAGCTTGACCTTAGGGTAGTAGGTGGGCAGTTGAATAGTATTCACAGGGATCGATCCCTGCCTTGCCTGTCCTCCAGATGGACACTGAAGTGCCTTCAATGCAAAGTCTGCGGTAGATGGAAGATTTAATGGTCTGCTTCAAGGCCAGGAAGTGGGGAGGTGGGGTCCCTCTACACCTGACATCACCAAGCCTTCTGGGGATCTCTGGTTTGGTTACGAGCAGTGGATTTTTTGATGCTGACAGGGAACTACTCATGTAAGAGTGCTTAAGTCACTGAACACCTGTGGTACAGGACGTGAGGTACCAGGATTTCTACTGCTAAGTCACTTTGTGCCCAGGTGGAAGGAAATCTGCATTTGTCTCTTTCTTGCCTTCGTCTCAGCTCCTAAAATTAAAGGGAGGAAGTGGCCATTGAGATGGCATAGTCTGTATGCCATGGTCCTAAACATAACTATGGTCTGGACTACAGCTCACCATTTAGAAAAAAACCCATCTCTTCCTGATTAAAACATTCCTGTGGTGGATTTACCACGAGCATTCTTGGTACGTTATTCCAGTAATTAATTAACTAGACTGCAAAAAATGCATGCCTTGTTTCTAGACTGGAACTGGGGTGTGGGCACAAGGTCTGTGTCTCTGAGAACTCAGGCAGATAAGACAGCCATCTGGGCAGTATTTGGTCTACTTCCTCTCATATTCAGCCGCAGTTTATACACAACTCTTCTGCAGAATCTTCTGTTGTCAGGATTTGTTAACCCATGCCAACCAACCTCACAGCGTCTGCACACACAATTATCCCCTGATATTGAAGGTGATGTGAGGTGCCAGGTAAAGTAAGTGATTGCCCTGCTGAGAGCATGCGACACTGCGGAATACAGTCCTAATGTCCTGTCTGTCCTGACCTTTAACTTCTAGGCCATCATTCCTCTAATACTTGATACCATCTTAATACTTTTTATTGTCCTCAACATTTTCCATCAGTGCAGTGTAATAAATGCCTGTGATAATAAATGGTAGTTCCAACAAGCTAGACTGAAACACAGGAGTCTCTTCAGCCCATGTGCCACTGCACCTGCATCCCTTACTTTACTTAAATTTGGCTTTCTGCAGCAGTAAGATCAGGGAAGTGTGAAGTACGGTCTAAGACGTCTCTGTGCATGCACTTCTCATCTTTGTGGGCTGAGGACATAATAGGCAGAGAATCAACATCAAGCAAAGCCGTGCAGCAGGAGGACATCAGAGGGTGAATGCCAAATGTAAACTCAAACAGAAATCATGAGACATCATCTAGGGGTATCCTAGTTTGGGTAAGACAGTGTAAATCTGAGTGCTTGATGAAGGCTGTTAATCTCTAGAGATGGGGAAAGACAGAAAAGCGATTACAAATTCAACTTTCCTTTAGCAGCTCTGACAGTTTTGGAAGTGTTTCTAGATGTTGGAGCAGTTTAGGAAGAAAGCCAAGGAACCTCATTCAAAAATAGGCTAGTCCGTATTCTGCCCTTAAGGGTCAGAGGATAACCCAGGGACACATTGCAATTGCCTTAGTGTCATCAATTTCCATAGATCAGTCAAACAAGAAGAGTTTTGCCATTGACATCAATGGAAAAAGGATTTGAACGATAAATTCAGCAACTTCATGTTCTCAGAAGGCAGATATAATAAAGAGAAGAAAGCAAGGAAGAGTTATCCTCTGGTGGTCTGTTATAATATTTCATACTTCTGTATACCTTTGTTTTTTATTTTGGACTTTTAATTCACATGATGAAGTTTTCAGACACAAGTGGATGTCATGTGTAAGCTGAGTTCCTTGTTTTTTTCTTTTGCCTGACACTGGCTGCATGTTCTCTATTGATGTCTTGTTCCTGGTACTTGACACTGATCATCTTGTCTGTGAAAGGAAGCACTCCAGCTGGCTTGCCTGATAAGAAGAAAGGAAAGTTTGCTTGGTTTAGTCACTCCACAGAAACCCATGGTAATGTTCTGCTGCGCTCTCTATCCACACTGCATATATCTCTGTGCATCTATATATCTCTATACAGACTGACATATCATATAGCTTTGTATACTTCTGCATGTGCTTGCCTTGCTTTTTTTATTGCTTGTGCAGTGTCCTCTTCATGCACTCAAGATAATAAGCTGCTCCACAAATCAGTCGTTTGCTAATGTCTTCAAAATTGTTTTCCATTTGCAAATAAGCTCAAATATGTCTTGGAAGTGCTTTACCTCATCTTCGAAGATGACTTGCGAAATATCAATGTTTTGGATTTTTCCTGAAGGACTCAGTCTGGAATGAAAATCTTAACTATGAATGTTTATTTTTCTTACAGCTTACTTGACTGTCTCATGTACATCAAAATATGAATTCAGTTGATTCCTTAATTTGTTTTTCCAAATAGACAAGATTATTAAAACATCTAGTCTTTGTAAAGGAAGAGGCACCATTAGAGTACAATATTTCACAGTTATGTCAAGAGTACTAGAGAGTCCATTATTTCATACAGTCCTAAGAACATGGCACAAGAACTTTAGGTTTCCTAAGACATATGTTGTAGGCACTTGAGTGGTTGAGGTGGGATGAAGGAAAGATAGTTCACTTTGTGGGACATTTCTACCATAATGTTTTCAAAGTGGGAACACAGGACCTCTTTGGAAGAACTTTCTGATACCTTTGAGCCTCTGAAAGAAGACCTGATCCCAAGGCCCATTAATCGTCTGCCCAATTGAAATGCAAAACCTATTTACACTGCCTCCTCTTGCACCAAGGACCCACAAACAGATATGTTCTTAGTATTCCATAACATATTCTTATAGGCTATTGGCAGCCTCTCTGCCAGCTAAGAGTGCATGCTTTTAAGTCTCGTCTGAGAGATATATCCAATCGCTAATACAGGTCATGTTCTGAAGTTTTACAGGTATCTGCGAGATCTGTTTAACTCCTCCATTATTTAGTTTTAAGTATAATTTTTTTCATTTGTTTTATGTATTTGAAAAGGGGCAGGGGAGGGAAGAGGACACCTATTGGATCCTCTCCATTGTCCTAACTTACATTGAATGATTATATATTAAGGAGTTATTAGAGCTCATATAGGAGCTGGGAGCGGCTGGTGGAATAGAAATACCGATTTTTATTTTTTTTCTATGATCTGTAGAAGCAAATAAAATATTGAGGTTTTATAACAGATAGAAAATGTGACAGGTCCTTGAATCCAGATGAGAGGTTCACACCCAAGATTGCTTTCCTTTGATGTTTGTTGTATGATACTTCTGTAAAAGCCTGGGAGATTCTGTCCAGTTCCTAGTTGGTGAGTGTCAACATAAAATCACCACCATAGTCCATGTTCATTAGGTCGTTTTTTGGTAATATCTGAACTGATCAGAGTCTGAATTCCCCTCTTATCCCTTTAGGTCTAGTTTATAAGTGTAAGGTTGAAATACATTAATGGATAGTGTATGACAGATGAGCCATCAGTGTTATTTATGTGGTACTTGCTATCAGGCTAACAGAATATGTTTGAATACATGTCAGTCTGGTACTTTTTATTTGTATTCTAATAATTGCACAAAAGATTGGGGAGGGCAGTGAACTGTTTGGGCTGGTGCAAGTAAAGGGACATTTTTTTAGTGTTCCATTGAATGAAAAAAAAAAAGCTTCTTGTTGGCTTTGCCAGGTTCTCTGATTTTCAATGGTTCTTATTCACAAAATTTCCAATGGTTCTTATTCACAAAATTTCCAGGAACTGACTCTGAAAGAAAGAGAGCAGTTGCTTCTTCCTTTTTCTTTAACATTTGAGTAACCTGTATGTTCCCTGAAGTCTACCTGCCCAACCTGGCCTGCGCAGGGAGGCACTAGAATCGCTCAGCAAATTGCTTAATCCTCAGGAGCTGCATCTGAGGGTCTTTTCATTAAGTCAGTTCCTTCACTCGTGTTATTCATTAATAGATATGCCAGGTTCTAATGGCCAACCCTCTCTTTCTCTTCCCTTTGACTCTTACAGTGAGCATGCCCACCAGTGAGACCGAGTCCGTGAACACAGACAACGTCCCTGGAGCAGATATTGAAGGCGAAAACTGCGGTGCTAGGCTAGCGTGAGTACATATACATAGATATACGTATGTAGGGGTTGGATCGAGCTTGGTGGGTTAAAGCCAGGGCAAATGTCAGGCTTTATAAGGGGAAGAAAACCCCACAGTAGGTGAAAGGAGAGGGTGCAGAAGATCTGTTGATCCTAGTTCTTATCTTAATTGCAATGTAAACTCACTCTGGACATTAGTGGAGATCTTCTGGGTTTACATAGATGTAAATAAAGCACAGAAAGCCCAGGATAAGCAGAGCTGGTTTTGCATAGTAGCTAAAAGAAGAACTGATGGATAACAGTGTGCTTATTTTAAAATTCCTCTTTAGTGTTAGATAATCAAATCCAGTATATGTAGCCAAAGAGTGGAAATGACTGGTCTATTTTAATTTCTCTAATAATTCTTGTACACTTTACAGTGTCTTGTAGTAGAAATACATGGATGATAATTCCCATCCTGCAGCCTGAATTACACCCTTCAAGTGCTGAACACAATACTGTAGTGACAAATGAATACATCAGTTAGGAGGGAGTAATGCCTTCTTGAAATTTCACCACTGTAGTTAATGGAGGAGCTCAAGAATGCGTGAGATAGCGCTTATGGAATACCATATTATGTGGTATATTTTTTTAGCATCACAGAGAGTCAGAATAGGCAAGAGAGGTCCTTTCTTCCCTTTTGCATGACTTGAACAAGGATGGACTTTATGCTGTAAAAAAATATGTTAGTCTCTTCAAATTTCTTTGGAAAATGGGCTGAGCGTATCAGTGCTATAGATTGTACCATGCTGGAGTATTTTGAGGCTCTGTCCTGTCTTTGGGCATACATTGGGCCCTTCAGTATTGGTCAAATGCTCATTATAAGTACATAAGAAATGCTCTGTTTTGTCAGATCTATGGTCCAGCTGGCCCAGTGTTGAGGTCCTGAGAGGAAGGCAAGTGTGCAAGCCTGGCCATTTCCTACTTTCCAGTTCCCTTTACTGCTCCCAAATTCATGCTTATTGGATTAGCGATGTGAGAGGGCACACTCTGCTTTTTGCCTTTAGTGGCTGATTATGGACCTGTTGTCCATGGATTTATCTGAACCCACTAAGGCTCTCTGCCCTCACAATCTCCTGTGGCAAGAAGTTTCAGAAGTTCATTACCTGCTGTGTAGACAAGTACTTCCTCATATCTGTTTTAAGCTGATCTACTTTCAGTCAACATCCTTTCCTTCTAATACTGTGAGATTTGGTGATCAACAGTTCCACATTCAGCTTATCTATCACTTTCGTGACTTTGTAAACCTTGATTACATCTCCCACACACACCCTTGGCCCTCTCCTCTACGAACTGAAGAGGAGGAAATCTTACCTTCATTACAAGATATGATATGTGGAATATGTTGTAAATTCAATCTGCTTTCCTTTAAGTGTCAGCCGGCCCGGCAACTTACAAATCCCAGGAGAAATTTTTTGTAATAGCTTTCCTTCACCTGCCTGCTGTTGCCTACCTGCTGAGTCTTTTAGTTTAGATTATGAACTCTTTTCTGAAGAAACCAGGCTAGATCTATTCATGGCACTGGGGCAGTTGTAGCCCTTCCTTTAGCATCCCGCCAAGCTGCTTGTGCTCTTGTTGCATTACAGGAAGCTGCCACTGGATATGTGACCACTTCTTCCAGCTGGATCCAATTTGGAGAACCATCTCTGTTCTGCAGTTATGGTTCCCAACATAATGGGTCCCCTGGTGCTACACAGTGCCAACAACAATGGCAACTGTTACTATAAAGTTGCATATATTTCTAATATTACAGCTCGCATTCATTTAATGTCCTTAATGCCAAACGTTCCTAAAGCACTTTAAGAACTGTGAATGCAGGGATTGTTTTCACAGCATCAGAGTTCAGCCACCTTCAGGGTGAAATGTGACAGGTGTTTAAAAACAAAGGGCACAAGCATATAAGGAGATGTGTGAGGGGTAGCTTGTTTTGCACTGAAAACACATGCGGAATTTTGGCAAGCAGAGCATAATTATCTTAGCTGGAACGTGGCCAGGAGAGCTGAAGTTAAACCCAACTCTAAAAGTAATCATGGCTTAGAATGGAGTTTACTTAAAATAGCCCAATGTGCCCCCTGGAGAATGGCAGTACTGTGGTCTAGCACCATGATCACTTTACTCCTGGCATTAGGAAAAGGAATGGCTACATCAAATACATTTTAGGGAAGAAGACATAGGAAAATCACAGGAAAACAGAGCTTCATTTCTTCTTCCCATGTCATAAACGTTAAAACAGGGCCCTAAGTTTCACCAGAGCAGGACATGTAAGATTCAGGGAGATAAACATTTTCCTTGCTACTTTCCACTGCATTTGAAAATGGGTGATGTATAGTAGGGAAATGGAAGTCTGTTATTGAGAAGGGTTTTTTTACCCCTTACCCAAGGGCAGTTACGATCCTCAAGGCCTTGCTCAGATTGCTTTTCATCTCTAGGAGATGGATAGGCTCCTTCATCCAGGAAAATGAATGACTGTGTCATTGTATTTGAAATTCTGGAATGAGATATAAATTTTGCCAATGCTTTCTGCTTTTGTAAAATGTTTGTTTCAAACTTGTGGATCTGCAAATTCCTTAGTTACGGGTAAATTCAGATCTGCCTTTGATTCCAAGGCTTGGAATCCTTTCTGGTTTGTTTTGTTACTGCATCACACACTCAGGCAGAGAGAGAAACCAACTTTCCTTGTTTCAAGAAGTATTAAGTCCTCTTCTCGCTGAGTGCTCATTTATACCACCCATAGGCCAATATTGCTGCTGGCACATATAAAATGTAAGCAAGAATTTATTTGAATATTTTCTTTTATTGGAATCTGACTAAGAGAATCAGAATTTGGCCCAGTGTTCCAGAATAGGGAGAATTCATGTGGGAAGTCAATTGAGTTTTTCAGTTAAGTTCCTCATGTAGTACTAGTGACTTGGAGTAAACATTAATAATTATAGTCACACCATCCTGATTTACTCTGGTTGAAGATTAGGCCCGGACTTTTGAGCAGTTATCTGCCCTCTGAATTTTGTTTTTACAGTTGAAATAGCTAGACAGGGGTTTTTGTTCAATTGTTGAGTTTCATCTGTTGCAGGTGAGTCTTCATTTTTACCAGCGTGCTCAAATCACCTAGTGCCCATGAGTCCCCATTGCCTTGCTATAAACATTTTTTCCCAGAAGGCAGAGACTGCACTGGGAAAGCTGCAACCAGACATGCCTGAAGTAACAGGGAGATTTCAAGTCAAAGGTAATATACTTATTTCTTTAGTGGCATCAGGCTGCTAAGGCATTTAACCAGCCCAGCACCACCACTGTGGTTACAGGCTGAGCTTGCCATCAGAATGTGCTCAGGATAAAACAAAAAAAATACCTAGGAAACTGAAAGATAAAGCAATTTTATTGAAGATAACATAGAATTACTGGCTGTTCTTTCTGTTTTATAAAAAGCTCTAGAGCTTTGAAAGGCAGGGTCTGTGAATGACAGAAAGATCTGCTTGAGAAGCCAGGCTCAAGCGTGCCTTTTGGAAAAGGAGATCTTCCCTGACAGCCTTTCTCAGCTCTACAGAGACATATGCTATGTGAGATCAGGAGAGTACCTCTGAAACACAAGCTATCTCCTACTGATGAATTGTCTCAAAGAAGCTTTTATTTCTATAGTATCCATACTATAGAAACTGCCTTCATCAGCTGTGCTGTCTGGAGCAATGCCAGTCTTCAAACCAGCAGAAGGAGTTTCAGGAGGAATCTAACATCTAATCTCTCTTTGCTTATTGTGTAAATGCAGTTTCTTAGAACTAAAACAAAAAAAAACCTCATTCATATTCATTCCTGGTGTAATTCTGCTGCCATCAGGAGAGCTGTGGCAGGGAGTAGTTCCCTTCCTAAGATGGATGTTAGCTTCATCAGCCATCTGAATTTGAAAAAGGTCTTGTAAGCTTCCACAGGACGTTGAAAAGCATCCCACAACTTCCATAGTATATCATTCCTGTCATGGTATTGCCTTGTATTGCACTGACATCTGCTCTGCAGTAGAAACAGAACAGCTTTTATCCTCAAGGACAACATTTGGAAGTGGAACTTACCTTACTTCTGATGCGTCACAGCTTTTATAACCTGTTGCCTCCGGGCACAAGAAATGTGTTTCCTCTGCAGCAAGCATCAGTGGGATAAACCCAGAGCTGGGAGCAACAGGTTTCTATTTACAGGATAGACTTATACCCAGGACTTCCTAATAGCAGGTAATTTCCCTGAACCTCTATGGTTACTGCTGTGCAGGACTTAGATTCCTGAGGACAGGCTATTGCTCATAATCAGTAGTAATCTGTTCTGTGCGGGTTGTCAGCATATATAATCTTCCAATACAACCAGAACGTTAATTTTCTAATACAACCATACAGCTCTGGAGTGCCACAATAGAGCTTGCTTTTATACATATGTATTAGCTAAAAAAAAAAGACCTTTGTGGAAACTAATGTTCCATGGAGCCTCAATAGAGAAGTGAAGCACTTGAGTTCAAAGGGAAAGAAAGCTTAAAATTATCTGCTTTCACTGAAACAATAAGCCACTTGGCATTTTCACCTTGGCCAGGATTTCCATACATTTGGGGGACAGTTCAATTGCTTTTCCACTGAAGAGGGTTAAAACAGTAAAACAGGATAAAATAAATGAACAACCTACACTGGCTTTCCAACTGAAAACGGTGTATCCTGAAAATATTATGAACAATGGAGGCTTTCCCTGGCAGCTGAACCATCAGTGATTTTCCCTTGGTGCTTTTCTGGCTAAGAAAGTAATTCTTGTGCCATTTTTACAATCATCAGTGTAGAAGCCTGCAGTAAATGTAAAAGAGTCAGATTGTTTGCAGGTTTGCTATAGTCACTGCTGGTTTTCACCTAGTGAGAAGATAGCCTCCTTCTGTGAGGACCAAAGTCCCCATCGCATCAGGAGCAGCGGTAAGAAAAGTCTGCCAACAGCTCTGAAACCACTGCTGACTTGAGCAGGAAAACACACAGGATCGACCCTTATGTGTCAACCTCAGCTACTGCTCCCCAATTTATTATGAGCAAGGTGCTTTTGATATTCACAATCAGCTCTAGATATGTGTCTAAAGGACAATAGCATGCCCTTGTGGAGGAGGAATTATCTTCCTACTTCAGATTCTGTGACAGGCCTTGCCTGTGACTTGCCATAGGGAGAGCAAGATTATTCACTAAATGCTGAAGTGCTGGCCTATTTTCCCCGCCTGTAAGAAAGCCTGTTGAATAGTAAACCAGCTCAATTTTTTTTTTTTTAAGCTAGACAAATCCAGTTTTCTTAAGGATGTTCTGTAGATTCTTACCACTGCTGGCCAACAACCACCTCTCTGTTAAAACCAGCATCACTCCTGTCAGGTCAACGTGCTCTCCAGTGCTTCTGCAAGAAGGGCAAGATGTAGAAAAAAAAAAAAAAAAAAAAAGAGAAGAGACATTGCTGCATATACTCTGCTGAAATTCAGTGATTGCCTCAGCAGGAGGATCTCAGTCCACATCAGAACACAAGTTCTCCAGGTTCAGTCATCTGTTCCATTTTGCTGGAAGCTTTTAGTTAATGGTCAAAAATGAGAAATGGTCATTGCATGTATCTGTACACGTTAATTGCATTGTACAGAGGAGAGCAGACAGAAGGATGAAGGCCCATTACTTCAGTGTGAATTGCAGAGGCATAGCTGAGGGTAGAACTTAGCCTTAACACTTTCTCAGGCTGAGAGATTATCAGGTATGCAGCATACATTCTGGAAAATGTCACGTCACTCTATGGTCTTGTCCCAGTAATATGTGGAAAAAGGACTCTAGGGTGGGCATCTTCTCTTCAGGTATGCCAGCATCCTGACTAGAAGACAGGAAATGTTATCAGCA